GATGCTAGACAAAGAGATTTATTTTGCAAGGTTTTTTGTTGTTGTTGTTGTTGTTGCAATCTGGGATTTTGTAACCTGGGATTTTTGCACGTGGTTCAGCTATTGCTATGGAGTTGAGGCAGAGGCAAGATGGAGAAAAAAGTTTTCCGAGGTGAAGAGGTAGAACACTCTGGATGCTAAGATGTTGAAGTAATCAAGAATGGTGACAGGTAGAAAAGTAGAAAAGGATAATGAATTAGTTGCTAAATGCATTGGTAAAGGAAGATGAATTTCTGAGAGGCTTACGTGATTGGTCAGAAACCTGGAATGTGTCAGAGTTTCTGAAGGAAGAAGAATGAAAATTATTTTGAAGGACATTTCTTGTGGAAAACAACTGGCTTGACACGCATCCGTCTCGTTGCTGCATCGCCTGGGCAGACAGAATTTGTTTCTTGCTTACTCTGTAATTAAGCAAGACTATGTAAGGAATTCTAGCGGATCAAATGGAGATAAAAAAAGCTGCTCAGAAATTCCAGAGCCATTTCGTGGAATACTACCAGGTCCCTGGTGGTTGATGAATTACTAGATTGAGGAGCCACAAGCTCCTAGGGCCTTCTGTGTGGCTCAAGCACTGACCCAGAGGCAGCACTCCATCTCGGATACTCTGATAGGGGATACGTGTGTATCTCAAGTGGCTGCTTAGTCCACTGTACTCTAGTGCCTGCTGCATTGTTGATCTTGATTGCTAGGTTAAATTTTACTTGAGGAAAAAACCTTAATTGTGTTAAATTCCAAGCATTTACCTGTAATAATATATGTACCTATCTCTAGATTCTTTCACACACAAAGAGTGTCAGGCAAGAAATTAAAACAAAACCAAATGCCAAGCAAAACCAAAACCTTAAAAAGGGCTGACAGCAAAGTGGTGCTATTAGGGATCAACAAGTTGCATGGTTATGGTGACAATAATATCAGAATGAACAGCAGAAGCAGTAGTAACAGCGAGGCCACTTCTCTGGCCTCTGTGTGATATAGACCCTGAAACCCCACCTTGGATACTGGAAATGCAGCTTGAAATTATAATACGTTTTGGTGTAGCCATACCGTGATCTTGAATGATGAGTTTACGGCCTATGAAACCCACGCCATTGCCCAAGGCATTGCTGTTTTTCTTGGTCATTTTAATCTTCCATGTGCTCAGTTGTGATTTTTAGATCCCACATGCATAAGTACTTGTTACCTGCTCGCTTGCTTTCCTGAGAGATCTTACGGGACAGGGCAGCCTCATCTGCTAATTTCTTTATGCCTCAGTTTCTTAACTTTTAAAATAAGGATACTAAGTAGCATCGCAAAGGGCTGGTGTGAGGATTAAATGAAGTGTTTCATATGAATTAGTCATTTAGCATTTGGTGTCTGCTACATAGTAAAGAGTTTCATAATTGCTAGCTATTATTATTGTTGCTTGTTCTAGAACCTAATTTCTTCAAGTCTAAGAAGGGAATTTAAAGCACACATTCTTAAAGTATCTGTGCCCAGACTAGCAACATCAGAATGAAAATTCTTCCCCTCTACTCTGGCCCCATGGTTGTGTCTTCATACTGAATTGGAAGATTTAGGAGTGAGGTCCAGATGTCTGTTTTCTTGAAAAATAATCTCCATGAGATTTCAATGCACATGGAAGATTGAGGTCCATTGGTTTTGAGTAGTAAATATATACTCGAGTCACCTCCTTACCCATGTTGGCAATGTTTATTTTTTTTATTCTATAAAAGTGCTTTTAGGAAGCGTCAATTTTATCTCTTAAAAACAAGAATAAAAGCAAAGAAAACCCCCCAAAGCTGTTGAACATTGGCTGCATTCTCTTGCCAGCAGTAAAGTGTCAGATTGTCTGAGAGAATGTGACCCTGGGCTCCAGTCACAGCTGCTTCTGCTACACACCAACTCCCGTGGTTCGTCTTGTTTTCACTGAGACTACAGAATGTAACCAGGACTGCAGAAGATATTTAACAGGACTGTGACCTTGCATTCTAAATGCCAGGTATCCTGCAGGTTTGCAGTCACAACGCCTCACTGCAAAGGAAATGACCAGACGGAATATTTGTGCCTCGTTTGTGCATGCTAGCACATCGACCCTCTCTGCCTTTGGGCTTGATTAAATCTTGAGGCATTTTTAAGAAAAATGCAAGAAACCGCAGATACATACTGGTCATTGAGTCATCCTATTTCTTTCTGTTATCCTGCCTCTCTTTGTCCCCTTTGGATTCAGAGCTGAAAAGGAAGGAGGGTCCCCTTAGCCTCACTCTGTCAAACCATGGAAGGAGAAACTGGAGCTGGTACAGTGGCAAATGATGCTAACATTCTGCCTGCAATGCTAGCATCCCACAAGGATGCTGGTTCAAGTCCTGGCTGCTCTACTGATCTAACTCCCTGCCTATGGCCTGGGAAGTGGTGGAGAATTGCCCAACTGCTTGGTCCCCTACAGCCACATGGGGGACCTGGAAAAGTTCCCGTCTCCCAGCTTTGGATAGACTCAGTTCTGGTCATTGCAACCATTTGGTGAATGAACCGGCGCTCGCTCTCTTTTCTTCTTTTAAATATTTATTTATTTGAATGGTAGAGTTACAGAGAGGAGGAGAGATAGACATACAAGCACAGAAAGAAAGAGAGAGAAAGAGAGGGAAGGAGGGAGGAAGAGAGGGACTGATTTTCCATCTGTTGGTTCACTTATGGCTACAATAGCCAGAGCTGAACTGATTTGAAGGCAGGAGCCAGGAGCTTCTTTCAGGTCTCTAACATGGGAAAAAGAACCAGGGACTTGGGCTGTGCTCCATTGAGTCCTCAGTCCATAATCAGGGAAATGGATTGGAAATAGAGCAGCAAGGGCTAGAAAAAGAACCAATATGGCATGCTAGTACTGCAGATGGAGGATTGCCATGCAAACTGCCACACTAGCCCTATGGAAGACCTCTTTCTCTTTGTTGCTTCTTCCTCTCTCTGTAAATCTGCCTCTCAAATAAAAATTATTCTTTCAAACATGAAAAGCTGTTGTCCTGAGATGGGTACACAACTTACCCCCAGGCCATCCTGTTGCTCTCCTTTCCAGTGCTGCCAGGCTGTCCTCTTCTATTGCCTCTGATACAGACTTCTCTGTCAACTATCTTATTTTTGGCGTAGGTGTGTTTCTTTGGGAGTGGAGTGACTTTGGTACATAACTTTTCTTAGCTGAGAATCAAAATGACAATTTTTAGTCCACTGGCTCTGATGGTGGTAAGAATTTCTGTGTCTGCAGAAGTGCCTGGCAGCCCCACCAATTTAGCCATACTTGTTTTGACTTGTACATCATGTTTCATGATAATTAGCTTTGGGGTTGGGTTAATCTCCTTCTCCAGAGTTCTAATCAGTTCAGGAGATGTGATTTGTGACAAGGGAAAAACTTGGAGCTTTAACCAACTTTCTGACAGCCAGAGGAATTTGGTATGAAAGTCGTAGTACAGTTTAGCCATACTGGGCCAGCCATCTGTAGAATGTACCCAGCTGGCAGATTTGAATGCTATTATTCAAAGATCCCTGTTAGAGCCAGTTGTGGAACCAGGAAAGGCAGGGATGCTCTGGCTTCCTTTATGAGATTCCCATTTTCTCTCACCTGTGCTCTTTTCCCAGTTGTCTTTTCATGGTGACCTCAGTCAGCTTTACCTGATTTTCTGATGAGTTCAAACCTGAATGATCTCAAAAGCTGTGTGCGTTTTAGTAAATGGGCTCTTTTAGATTACAAAAGAATGAAGCTCTGGGGTCCAGCATGATAGCCTAGTAGCTAAATCCTTGCCTTGCATGCACCGGGATCCCATATGGGTACCAGTTCATGTCCCAGCTTCTCCATTCCTCATGCAGCTACTTACCTGTGGCCTGGGAAAGCAGTAGAGGAAAGGCCAAAACCTTGGGACTCTGTACCCGTGTGGGAGACCCAGAATAAGCTCCTGACTTTGTATTTGCTCAGCTCTGGCCTTTGCTGCCGCTTGAGGAGTGAACCAATGGATGAAAGATCTTTCTATCTGTATCTCCTTCTCTTTGTATATCTGCCTTTCCTTGAGAGCGTGTTTGGAGGTTCTAGCAGGGGAGCGCAGCTACTCCTATACCCTTGACTGAAGCCCGGTCCTCCTCTAGTGGGGATGGTCGTCCTCTTCGACCGAGCGCGCAGCTTTGGGAGGGACGCACATGGAGCGGTGAGGGAGGAAGAGGACACCCGCCTAGCCAGCCAGATCAGCCGAATCGACCCTGGCGATCAGTGGGGTGACAGATGTCACAACCAGATCACCCACACATCCTATATCTGCCTTTCCAATGAAAACTAGATCTTTTTTTTTTTAAAGAATGAAGCTTTAATGATAAAATGAGACATTGTGTATAACATTCTTTCATGTTGGCCTTAATGTAAAAACATGTGTGTATATAGAAAAAAAGTGAGTGCCATGTAATATAGATATTATTTTCACTGAATTATACCCACTACATAATAATATACCCTTCTTTTCTCATTTTATCATCTTTGTCATTCATTCCACATTATATAATATCCATTTTTTTCTTTAAAAAGTATGTTTATGGATGTGCATATGTATAAAACAGTTACATGTGAGGTGAATGTGGCAAAAACGTTGAAAATGATAAACTCCTCTTTATATTTTTGTGTTTTCTGGTATATTTAAAATAAGATGAAAGCTCATGAAAAATAAAATTTTTCCAAGATAAGTTCAGGGAACTGTGATAAATGGTTGTCTCTGGGAGCCGGGGCACAGTTCCTTATTGCTTCTTTTGTTTGACAGCATGGGAACAACTTTGATCCTGTGTGAGGACAAGCACCGCAAGTAATTTGTGACATGGACTATATTTTGTATTGTCTTTATCAGAATATCAGACCAACTATCGCAAATGGTCTGTGTAACAGTTCTGATACGTGTGAATGGATTTAAGCTATCTTTTGTATTAATTGGGCAATGTTAGAATTTAAAACTTTTTTTTTAAAGAGCAAAGGATGATGTGCACAATGTGTAGGAAAAAAAGAGTACGTGTGAAAGGCTGATATACCAAGGACAATCGCCCATCACTTAAGGATGGAGTTCACTCTGCAAGATGGGAAGGTCTGTCCGTCTCATCCTGTGTGAGCATCACAAAGTTACACAAGTCTGGAAGGCTAGAGCGTTAACAGGTTAGATTATTTTATGAAAGCCATCATATTGGTGGCTGGAATGTTTGATTGAAATGTTATGTGGCATATGATTGGATATGTCACCTTCACAGGCAGAAAAAAAAAAAAGTGCTTGCAATTCCCCTTACATAAAATTCTAGAAAGTGCAACTTAATCTGTAGTCACCAGAAGTGCACTGTATTTCCCTGGGAGGGAAAGGCTACAGTGGAGTCTTAAGATATTTTTGGGGAATGATGGATCCAGTCTTGCCTTGGTTGTAGTGGTAGTTTTATGGTCTGTACATAAATGAAAATTCACCAGTTGTGCATTTTAAAAATGTCGGTTATATCTCAATAAACAGGTTAAAAAACTGAGAATGGAAGTTTGCTCCTCAATCTGGGCTGCATTCCATACTCAAATGCAGCCCATGCAAGGAAGCAGTCCGTTTATTTATTAACCAGGCACCACCTCTGTGCATTAGAGACAGGAAAAAAAGTGAGGCAGAACCAAGGAGGTTTTCTATTATTGATCCTCTACCTCTCTTTTTCCTTCTCCCTTTCGGTTCATTTTCTCCTCTTTTTTTCTCTCCACTCCCTCCCCAAAGTCACTAGAATGTGAAAGGCTACATCTGTTCTTGCAAAAGCTATTTTGCAGTGCAATTAAGCATTCCTCACCTTAGCTCCCCAGGAAGCTGGAGACTTGTGTGATCGCTGACATAATGGATGGTGCCCAACATCCTGGCCCAGGTGTGTGGGGGCTGAGAACAGATCCATGTGGACAAGATGCTGCTCTCTGGCCTGCAACATGAGGCTGCCCTTCCCTCCTTGGGTCTTTTCAGAACTTGGAGCAGCTGCTACCCTCTGGGTGACCGACAAATGCTGCCACTGCTCACCTGCTCAGGCTGCCTGACAAATGGAGTTGTGCATTGCAGGCGGAATAAATAGTTCTGTAGTCATCTCTGGCTCCAGACTGGGAAGAAATGCATGAGCTTTGTGACCTGACAGGCTTCTTGGAGGCTGCAGAGAAAAACTACTTAGAATTCATATCTGCACTCCTTTCAGCTTGTTTCTAAAAGCTCGAGTGGTTCCTAGACATTTTTCCTTAAGTATGGTGTCTGCTTCCCAGTGTGGATAGGACAATTAGCTGGAGCATCCAAATGCTTTGCAGATAACTATTTAAATTCTGTCATTTTAGTTATTAAAATAATCATTTATTATTGGAACACTTAAAAGTGTAGTATCAGCATTAGTAAGTGATAATTGATATCTTAACTAGTTTGATGGTTCTGTATCTGCTTTTAGAATTGCCTGTAAAACAGGGCTAGTATTAAAATTTTGGACAGTGATCATTTGAAACTACCATGTTCTACTCTGGCTTGTCTGAACATGGTTCCATCTGAGACCTCAATTTGTTCTCTAATGAATACCTCCATAAGAACAAAAATTATATAGACCAACTTTCTTTGTACTCTTCCAGCTTAATTGTATAACTATGTTGTTGCAAATTTGCTGAAACCATCCATTTCAGTTTTTTCCCTCCCTATAACCGGCTCTGAATAGATGAGCAGAAATAGCTCTCTTCATGTCAGAAACTTTAATTAAACCGTTCTGAAAATAAGGATGTGGAAGTCCTGGCAGGACCTTAATATAGTCACATTTGCTACTCAACTGTTCCTGTTTCCCTGAAGGATTGACGGTTACACTGAGATATGCCAGGACTGTTGCAGGCATGGGCAGGGATTCAGAAAATTGTAACTCTTGATCTTTTGAACCCCAACACTAAATGAAAATTAAGACAGAAGAAGACACAGGGTGTATGGAATCCTTCAGGTGTTATTCACCTGAATGATTCACATGAAATTAATCGATGATCCCTCTTTACACATACAATTCATGAATCTTTACCCCATTATTTAATGCAAACGTAGAGAGCTCTTATATAAGCACTTGTAAATATTTACTCCTTTAATCCTTGGGACAAACCTATAAAACAAATCCTTTTGTAAATCTCACTTAATATATGAAGAAAGATAAATAACTTTTTTCAGCTGAATTTTAAACCCTCCCAAATCCAGATTCCAGAACCTGGGCTTATGCACACCTTTTATTTCCCAAGGATTCAGGATTGTGCCTGTGGATGGGGTCAGTCTGCCCTGCGTCTTTGGGAATGCATGGCCCTCACTCCAGCATCTAGCTGTAATGATCCACTCTCAGCCCGCTGCTATTCATGTGCTGCTTTCAAATTCTCTACAACATCCAGTTTTCCTGAACTGCCAAAGGATCTTAATGGTACAGGTTCTTAAAAAAAAATGAACATTTTTCTGGTTTGTGAATATTAGCTGTTAGACTTTTCTATTCTTCCCCATTCCCTGTGAGTCACTTCTAGGATCATAAAATTGGGCCTGCTCAGAATTAATTGATATGAGGATAAAATCACAAATAGAAAAGTATAGTAATGCTATATTAAAATTATTATTTCTTAGTTCTCAGTTTTCCTTAGTCACTTTGATCATCCTATAACAACTTTACCTGCAACACATACATGCACACACACACACAGCTTTCTAAAGAAATATTATTCCTGTATTCACATCCACTTAAAAAGCATTGGGTAGCTGTGAGATTTTGCATTTCTTAATTGAGTAAAATTAAAGGTACTTATGAAGCAATGTCAATATTCCCACTAGAAAAATAATTAATACTAAAACACTTATAAGGTGTTGTTAAAGTCAAATGCATTGAACAATGAGAAGAAATTTCCAAAAGAATATAACTTAATTAGCTTATGATCCATCCTACCATCTGGCAAAATTTTGTTCTTGGGGTGGTTATAGAGTAAAATTGTAAATGTATGTTCTTTGTACATTTACAAAGATTAGAATGTTCACAAGCTTGATTACAAAGATCCCTCTACTCACCTACTTGTGTACCCTGTGTAAATATGAGATTATGTCAAAACAGAATGCATCTAATCAACTTTTTATTTCATTTATTTTATTTCACCCTGAAAAGCTGGGTGACTGGCCATTCATCTTCTTTTTTCTATTCATCTGTGGTTATTTCACAGAAGTTCAGTGGAACCACTTCCTTAAGCATCTTTAAAACAAATGGTGTGGTAAGTTGTGTACAAGGAAGTATAGATTTCTGTAAAGAGGTTTTTGGCTAGTAAAAGCTCTGTCTTTAAATAACCATTGATCAATATGTTTAAAAAATGGTTAGAGAAAGCTGGATATTATTGAATTCATTTGTTAACATATCTTTACTTAGAACAATAGAAGAAACACCCAAACCAGAAATCGTTACTACCACTACCAGAGGCAGACACAAGGAGCAGAGCAGGGGCCAGGGGTTCCGCAAAACTTGCTGTGGCCAGTGTTTCATTTCCTGATCTCTTTCATACTGGATGTTAACTCTTTTGAACTTGAACCCTGCGTATAGGAGGCTGATCTCAGTTGAAATCAGCTTTAAGTGGTACCTATCAATGACCAGCACAGATAAACACAAATAGTTTGAAGACCAAACCACAGTGAAAGTTACATTTAGTCACAGTCTAAGAAGCAATGGGAGCGCAGCATCCAACCTCACAACAGTCTTCAGTAAAAATGAAAATAATCATGAAACTTTTGGTTAAAGGAGATGAACCTGCCCCAGACAGGCAGTTCTTGCTTTCTTCTCTCTTATTCTATGAAAATAGTGAAGGTTGTATTTTGCATATAGGATATTATGAAGCACTTCATATCTTAAGAAAGTGGTTCTTATTGATGTGTGTAGGTAGTTGATGATTCAGAAATAGACACAAAATGGCATATCATGTTTATGGCAAGTGTGACTTTATACACGATAGAGACTATCTGGGACCATGTTATATCGGTTGTATGCATCTATGAAAGCCCAAGACACAACTTACTCATATGAATAACACCAATGTGTTGAAGATCCATTTCTATTTGGGAACAGTTTCAAGAAAGGATGTTTTCATGAGCTTACAGCCATTTGGGGGAAAGCTTAAAGTTCAAGTCTGTGATTCAGGTAGCGACACACACAAACACACACACACACACACACACACGGAGAGGAGAGAGGAGGGGAGGGAAGGAAGGGGAAATAGGGAAGGAGGGAGGGATAGAAATGGTTTGCTCCCCAGTGTGCACCATGTGAATATAGGCCAGTTACTGTTGCAGATCCCTTTTGGTTTTCCCAATACCATTGAGAAGGGGATGTTGTTGACAAAGTTTCCTAGATGAAACTCAGAGAGGCAAAGTGATTAGTCATTTCTTCTCACAGCAAACATCTCAAAAAACTTCCTAGATGGTGATTTCTGTATTCTTCCTTATAAAACAAACATGCCATTTTTACTGCTCTTACAAGGTTCTGTTTTAGCTTCCAATATGTCTTCTGTCTTTGATGTTAAACAAATAGTTCCGTTTTACAAAAACAGAAATATGAAGAGAATTAAGATGATAGAATAAGGACATGTTTAAACAGACAAAGGAACGTTAGCCAGGTTGAAGCAGAGAATGCACATTCCAGGAAATAGGAGACGACAGACAGAAACGCAGGAAAGCAGCAGGTGTTTCAGGGACCAGACATTCCAGCAGCATTCAGCCTGCACCAATCTGAACTGCCCGGTGACTGGAACTCCACCAGCACCCAGGTGGAAAGGAGAGTTCCCTGGGAACTCAAGAGGTGAACCTGGACAAAGAACTGCTCATCTACTGGTTTGTTTGATTTGACCAGGCACAGACAGAGTGGCAGATCCAAAACAGGTGGTACAGGAATAGGGTGGATTTCACAACCCAAACCCTCAGTAGAACCTAATTGGGTACCATCTTGTGTAGCGAGGTAAAGGCTCCGGGACAAATTTGTGCATGTGCTAAGCTGGGAGTGACCTAATTTCTTGCT